AATTGAAGTAAATGGCTCAATTAATAGCGTTACTCCTACAAAAACCGAATATGTATTTTCTAAGGAATTTAAAAAATTAAAACCAATTGATATTATTTCGGGTCTTTTTGGCGGTATAACTACAATTGAGGTAAAATTTTATATGTAAAACACTGACAAGCTATTTTATAAACTGTAAACTGATTATGGATCATTCCCGAACTGTTTAAAAGACTGTATTAAAATTTGTCCTCATATCTTTACTAGAAAAAAACATACGATTATTAGGAAAAATGAGGTTAATCTCAAACACAATCGATTTGGAGGGATATCGGGAGATTTGTGAGTCTAAGTCTTCCGAGTGTAGGCCTTCTTAGTTGACCCCTTTGTTAACGGGTCATTTTACTTATTAAATTTTGTATAAATTTTAGATGCACGTTGAAGATGTTTCTGGAGGTAATACGATTCTAATTAACGGTGGAATTAACACAATAAACATTTTTGGCTGTTGAAACATAAATTAAGAGAAATTTAAATTTATCAAAAAGATTGGATAAAGAAAATTTTTTTTAATTATAAAAAAAAATTATTTTTTAATTAAATTTCATTTAGAATAAGGATAATTTACATTTATTTTTTAAAATAATAATTTTTTGTTATTGAACATGATTTTCTTTCACTCACAAAGGAGAGTCCCTGACGTGTTCGTGGGACTTGAGATTTGGCTGTGTGACATTTTTGGTGTGACATTCTTGGGTTGAGACATTATGGGCTTGGGCAATTTTTGGGGCGCGCCCAATAAGCAAAATTTTTTTATAAAATTTTTAATTTTTACAAATTTTTTCCTAAATTTTTACTAAAGTTTCACTTTTTGGCAGGATTATGTGTCATTTTCGCATTATTTTCCCCAAAAACATCAAAATATGCATTAAAATATGCATTATATGCAAATAGAAACCCCATCTAGAGTTTTCAAAACATGCGGAAACAGTGTGTTTGTGAATTATACATCAAGCCAAGTTTGCCAAAAAAAAATAAGCATTTACATAAAAATTAACTCTAGCTATAAAGGAGTATTAGTTTCGAGTCCTAATCGTAGGATGTGAATTATTTTCTCATTATCTTACGTTTTTTGTCTCGTGAGAACGATTTTAAAATTCGTATTATTTATTTACCTCCTTCTTAAAATTTTCTCCTGTGGTGAAAAAATCGCAATTTGCTGCGCAAAAAATCGAAAATCGGAATTTTTGACACCGAAGGCCAAAAAAATTTTTTTGTAATTTTTAAAAATTCTTTATTGAAAATTCTCGACTTCCGATCCCGACTTCAGAGGTCATTTCCCGACCCCCGTTCCCAATTCCCTGGTTTTTCTTCTCCCAGGGATATTATTTTAAATATATATGCAAGTAAGGAATGACTGACCATTTTTTACATCAAGTAAATATTTAGACAGGGGGGTCAACTAACAAATAAGTACCGGATAATTTAATACAAAACGACGATACTTTGGGTCATCGATACTTATTTGTTAGGGGGATAATTTGTGACGATAGTCTGGAGTGGACTCCATTTCCCATGTAATAAACATAAAGAAAATATAAGAAAAGTTGAAGAAATAATATTTGAAAGATTTACTGAGGGAACTACTATCTAAATAAATATGGGTATTTGGAAAATGGCTAAATAGAAAAAGCACTAAATAATAATCTTTCATCCCCAATATCATATTTAAATAAAATTACTATTTTCAACTGATCTTAAACTTTGATTGGCATTTGACTAGGAGTCGGATTTTTATGGTTTTCCTATTTCTTTCAGAACCCCCATGGTCTGCGAAGCATGAATTTGGGGTTATTTTGAAATTAAGTGTTTAGTTTTTTGTGTATGGGATCACATTAACATTCCTCTCTTAATTAGACATTCTTCATAATAAACAATTTTTAGCTAAATATGTCTAGTATACCTAACCACTACGAAACATTAAAAGTTCCACGAAATGCAACAGCTGAACAGATTAAAAAAGCACGCAACATATTAATATTAAAATATCATCAAGACAAAAATAAAGACTCAAGAGCCGTAGAAATTACACAAAAAATAAATGTTGCCTATGGCATTCTTGGCGATGAGCAAAAACGGAGGGATTATGATAAGGAATTGCACGCATCTTCTGGAACATCCTCTACTACGTCTGATGGATCATCAAGTAAAGGATATACAAATTTTGGTATCTTATTTTAACTTCTAGCAGATCAAAAATAAAAATTAAGGAACGTCGTCAGAGGGAACATACTCAACTTTCAATAATAATTTTGGATTTGGATATTTTCCAGATTATGAAAATATTTTTGGAGGGTTCAAAGCATACACTTCTTCAGGATTTACTTATTCAAGGTCTCATGGCTCACAAATAAATTCGTGTTCAAACAATTTAAAAATATTTGTTTTCTCCAATAAAATTCTAGTACAAAGCACAAATAAAATTATTAAAGAAGCTAATAATATAGAAATAAATGGGGCATCAAATAATTTTAAAATATATGGGAACAATATTTACATTGAAAATGAAAATATAAATCAAAAAAAGATTGTAGGAAAATCAGTTAAAATCGAAGTAAATGGCCCATGTAATTTTGTTATTCCAAGAAGAAGAACTGCTTATATATTTTCTGAAGAATTTAAAAGGTTAAAACCAACCGGGAAAATTACGAGTATAAATGGTGCTTCCAATACAATTGAGGTAACATTCAGAATTGTAAAGGTTATTAGTAGAATATCACTTCGTGATCACTCAATCGCAATCAAAAAAATCTCACATTTTTCAAAATCACAATCTCACTTTTTTCCGAATCTCAATCAATCTCACAATCATCAAATCTCAGTTTGCTTCCCTTAATTTTTTTGTCTTGCCTAATAACTAATTTTTAGAAATTATTGAGATTATTAGAACAGGGTTCGGATCGAGAAAATGTTAAGTGTAAGTACAAAATGTCAGTTTGGAAGTACATAAGGGGAAAATTTTTAAATATAAATACTCTACAAAAAAATTTCCAAAAACATTTTTTGGCAACAAAGGGCCATAAGTATTCCATTTTCTCGCCGCAAGCGAAAATTGAAATTTTTAGGTTAAATTTAATGTTTAACCAAAAAGTCTATTTGTAAGTACTGTACTTCCAAAATAGGTACCAATCCGAAACCTGGTTCTATTTACTTCGATTTTAACTGATTTTATCACTCTTATCATTATTTTTGAACATTTCATAAATTTGCTTGTTTTTTAATTTTCTAATTTTAAATTTTAGAGAATTTCTCTCCCATATTTTAATTTTATAAAATTTATAGATGCACATTGACGATGTTTCGGAAAGTAATCTAATTGAAATTAATGGTTCAAATAACGAAATAGAAATCATTGGCACATACTAAAATGTAGATTAAGATAGTTTAAAAGAAACGAGATTAAGAAAAAAAAATTTTTAATTATTGGATGATTTTTATAATTTATTTTGAATTAAAATAAAGATAATTTGTTTTTAAAATAATTTTCAATTTCTCCTTTTTAATTTATCATAAACTCTGTCAGAAAATTATAACAATCCCTTGTTTTTTAGAAAGAAAACATTAAATTTAATATGTCATAATTTTGAATATTTTTGCAAATTTCTTATTCATATTCAAAAGAAAAAAGCAATCAGATATAAATTATTAGGGGTGCTTATAATTGTCTGACAGTCATTTTTTAGGAAATACCAGGGCTCTTGTCCAGTTTAGGCGTCCAACCGCACATTTACTATACGTCCAAACAACCTTTATACGTCCAATGAAAAGTTTATACGTCCAAACAAATTTTTTTGCGTCCAAACAACTTTTATGCGTCCAATCAAATTTTTTAAGTACCCGGTTCTGCACTAAATTATCGTAAAATCTATGGAAATAGAAAGTTTTATTTAACCAGAGTTATAATACACACGCATATTACCAGACCTTAGGTTTTAACGCATAGAACCGGGTATTAAAAAGTGTGATTGGACGCATAGAGTTATATCCATACCAGTTATATCCATATGTAAATAATTTATATCCCCTACATTTTACTAAAAAACTAGGGAGTGCTTATAATTTTCTGACAGAGTGTATGTAGCATCCTCTACTAAAAAACGCGAGTTTTTGGAAAAATTCTCTCTGTGATTGCCTACTCTGCATATGCGCATGACTTTAGCAATCCCTCCATTATTTCACGTTACCTAAACGATTTCTCTTTATCTTAATTCCCTTTTTTCCAATCCCTCCCGAAATCCTTTATTGGGACAATTAGTTACTTTGAGCTGAATAAAAAAAAACAAAAGTTCAGCCAAAATAAAAGAAAAATAGTGAGATGAAAAGAAGAAATAACGCAAAAACATCCCATTATGTGAGGAACGATTTTATGACAGCCAGGCAAAATTTGAAAGGGAAAGACTGTTGACAGCTGTGTTTATTTTTATACGTGCAAAAATTGATTTTTTTTTAATTGTTTGTTTTTGTCCAAGTTAAATTTATTTTTAAATTATAAATAAAACTAAATATTTTATTTTTTTATTTCTACATTATGTATGTTTAAAAATTTTTTTTATTTTTCTCTTAAACTTTGAATAAGTTAAACAAAAAAATGAATATTTTTTGACCAACAAAAGGGCATTCTATTCTTAATGTATTAAAAAATTTTAGTGTGAATCTGAGGCTCGATTTGTATAAATTCTCTCAATAACATAACTAACCCCACGGAATTTTTCGTCGTAAGAAAGAAAATGATATGGGGGTTGGATGAAGTTTTGTTTAAGACCTATATTTCTCAGAATTTTATTTAAAAATCAAAATTCTGTTAAAAATTTTTGATACCGGAAGCTTTAGTTACAATTTGTATGTATAATTTTACAAGTAGGCGGCGGCTTATGGCGATTGTTATACCCCTAACCGTAAAATACACTAGCGGCTTTATTCTCTTTTTTGATAGTGGTTGCCAGTAACAACAATTTTCTTAATTCGAGATGTACATCTTTGGGCTTGGAGATGAATTTGCAATTATATTATTATTAATCTTTGGGTTTTATAAATTTACTCAATTTTTTGTGTTTTTGCTATTATCAACATTGTCTTTAATTCTTTGGATATGGTAATTAATATTGTAATAAATATTTTTTGGCATATAATTGTTTAAATTAGAGACCCTTTCGAGGCTAAACCTTGGACAAAAATCTAGGGCGAGATCTTTCGAGATATCTCGTACGTCTCTCCCAATCCGGTCGGTCTCTAGTTTAAATTATTAATAAAAGGCATTTATACGACAAAAAACAATATTGGCAAAAACTTGGAGTGCCGTGTTCTCCTACAAATATTTTTGTAGGGCATATGCTCGAAGTAAAATCCAAAGGTGGAGTAATACAATTTGATAAAGAAAATCGTGAAAAATTTGGGAAAACATATGGGTAAGAATTTGAGTACAAATTTCTAACCAAAAAATAATCCCAACAGAATGTATCTTCTCGATATGAACAACCTTGTTACATCGGACATGGATTTAATCAAACAAGTTTTCATTAAGGATTTTGTTCATTTCCCGACACGTTCCGTAATTGTGTATTATAAATTTTTAATCAAATTATATTGTTAAAGGGCTTTCCGCTTACTCAAAATAAAAAGATTATACAAAATAGTTTGCTTAGAAGCATGGTTTCAGTTGTTCAAGGGGATGATTGGCGACGTGTTCGTAATACTATAACGCCTGCATTTACTGCAGCTAAGCTAAAGAAGGTTGGAAAATGATAAGATTTATGATTCTTTTTCAGAACAAGCAAGATTCTGGAAAAGACATAGGCTAGATCAACTGACCAAAGTATTTATTATTTGAGAATTATGGCTATTAGTTGATCTTGGTTATTTTTGTGTTTTTGAATCATAATTTCTGTAGATTTTGCATGCGTTGCTGAAAAGTTGAGTCCCGATGGGTGGCCTTAGAGGGATTAGGATTAATAAAAATTTAGGGCATTAACAGAGATAGGGATTAGTAAGGAAGGATTAAGTATTTGTTTGATTAAAAGACATCTTGGGTTAAGATATAAGACGGATATCGCGGAATTTGGTAAGCCTATTGAGGATTTGGGACGCATATACTCTGATGGGACGCATAAATGTTTATGGGACGCATGTCCTAAACTAGAGCCAAAATTTGAGAGACTAAAAGTTCGAGAGGAATATTAGTCCAGAAACTAACCCATAAAAATTTTAATAATTACAGATAATTCCAACTATATCCGAAAGCAGTAATGAATTAATTAATTACATTTCTTGTAAATATGTTGTAACAAACGAAGAAATACCTTTGAAGGAGTAATTATATTTACCTAATTTTTAAATTATATTTTAAATTTTATTCAGAATTTTTGGTCTTTTTACTATTGATGTGATAGGTCGTTCTGGATTTTCATCAGATTTTAAAACATTTTCTGGGGAGGAGAATGAAATAGTTAAACAAGCTTTGCTTTTTTCAAACGCAACAAAAAAGATGGCTTTTTTTGCCGTTCTGAGTTTTTTGTATAAAATTGCTAAGATTTGTTAAAAATTCCAGCATTTTTCCCTTCGATAAAAGAGTTATTAGAAAATTACTTTTCGATTGATTTATGGGATATGCCTGCACAAAAGTATTTTCATGGTCTTATGTCCAAATTGTATGATGAACGTAAAGATGATCCTGAAGCAAAGGATGTGGGTTTTTCTGATTTTAAAAGAGGTAGACCTGTAATATAAACCTTTTACTTGTTCACTAATGTCAGATTTCGTTGATTCGAGTTTTTTGACTCAGCTCGAGGAGCTCATTCGAGTGAGCTATTATTTTAATTTTTCACCCCAAAATCAGCTTACTCCCTGCTATGGTTTTTCTATTTTTCGGGACCTATCTCTAGGTCCACAATCCGTTTTTGAACCTAGAAAGTGTTTTGAGCGTTTCGACTTATTCCTCAAAAGGTACATTTTTTCCTTTAGAAATTCAATGACATTTTTCAATTACTCATGAACGCTGTAAATGATTCTGAAATTGAAGATATTACAATGGAACAAACTACTAATGAAATAAATAATAATTTGATAGCGAAACAGAATGATAAATATCTCAGCAAGATAGAGCTTTTTGCCCAAGGGTTCATGCTTTTAATTGCTGGGTTTGAAAGTATCACAAATCCAAACAGTATATCTAATTTCTTTTATACAGTTATGACACAACAGCTTCCGTTTTACAATTTGCAGCCTATATGCTTGCAATGCATCCCGAAGTTCAAGAAAAATTGCGAGAAGAAATTAATAGTGTGCTTGGGATAGATGTAAATAATATTTATTCTTCAGAGATGCCAAAATTTAAATAAATATTTTAGGAGGATATTTTATATGAACATTTAAAAAAGATGGATTATCTTCAAGCGTTTCTGCAAGAAACGCTAAGAATGTATCCACCAGCTCCAGTGTAATTTTGTATTAAATGATAACAATACGAAATTATTTTCATAGTTCAAATCGTGCTTGCAATTCTAATCTAACTCTAAACGGAATTAATTTACGTGAAGGAGACCTCGTTTCTATACCGATTTATTCTATTCAACACAATGAAGAATTCTACCCCGAACCTGAAGAATTTAAGCCAGAGAGGCAGTGAACGTTTTTTGAATTTATTTTTCTGATGATAAGGCTGGGAGAGTTATGACTGTCCCAAACTAATGAAGAACTGGGAGCTATTGAAAAGCTTCCTACCAATTCTGTGGGTTACACTTCGATATACCGGCAGCCCAGTATACCGCCGATCTATATAACTTCGTTCAAAATTTTCGAATCCGGGAGGCCCTGGTATAGTTTGTTTCAGCTCCTCGAGCCGCATCGAACCATGTCAGGGCTTCCTGGATTCGACAAATTTGAACGAAGTTATAACTCGACAGTATACTGGGCTTGAGGTATATCGGCCTTCTCCTATTCTTTGTAAATTAAATTCAATTCAAGGTCCAAATCAGATCGTTGTGGTTTACCAAACCGAATACAAGAATACATAAATTAAAAGAACCTAAACCTTTTTTTAACTTAAAATTAATTCAAGATTTATTCGCGAAGAAAAAGCTTCTGTGGACCCGTTGACGTTCTTGGCCTTCGGATTGGGTCCAAGAAATTGCCTTGGTATGCGCTTTGCAGAAATCCAAATGCAAGTAGTTATTGCTCTTTTGGTTAGACGTTTTAACTTCAAATCGAGTCAAAACAGTCCGGTTATTAAAAATTCTAAGAATTAAAAAATCTTCAATTCAGAAACTACCCCTAGAACTTGAATCTGTGATGCTTTTACGCCCAAAGAAAGAACTTGTAATTTTAGCTGAGGATTTGTTATAAAAATACTCTTAGTTTCATGAAAAAATTTATGATCAGACATATTAATAAAAATAAATTTTAAATATCTATCGGTTAAATATTATTCACAGCGGGTACTATAATGTCACCACACTTGCAAATTAATGATCTAGCGTCTCAATCCCTAGAAATCGAAAATTTAGTTTTAATTTCGGCTAGATCCCTTTTGCATATGTCGCTCTCACATTATTGTCACATTTTCTATGCTCGAGAGGTGACACTAGAGCAAGCACAGTTACGCAATAAATTTCAAATAAAAACTTTAATTATTAAATTTCTCATCTTTTAGTTTAACCTCCAATAATCATCAAAATCCCCTTAAAAATAAATTAATTAAATCTTATATAAAATCATCTCAAATGTTTTACCAATTTTCTAGTTCATTTCTTTTCAATACCAAAATCTTCACCTCACTTTTAGCGTCAATACGCTGACCAAGATTTTTTAATACAAATTTATTTATAAGCGTCTCCTTTATTTTCTCAAATTTGGCATAAAATTTAGTTGAAAGTTCGTAACTAGTTTGTTGTGCAAATTTAATTCCCAAAAGCCATGAAGTGCAGAAACGTTTTCTAAAAATATTTTTTTGAAATTAAACTGATTAAAAATATCAGTTCTACTGTAGGTCATGCGTTCCAAATGTTCTTGAAGCCGGTGAATTGGGAAGTTCATAGGAACTGGGAAGTTTTTCAGAACTGTGAAGCTCTGATAAAGTAATGAGGAATGTCAGGTGGCGGAGATTATACTAGAAATAATTTTAGGGAAGGAAAACAAAATGATATCGGAAGAATGGGCAGAAACCAGCGTACATCATATCGAGGACCTCATGCCACCTCCCAAAGACGTACTAGCACTAGAGCAGAAAATAATTTTACCTTTCATCAATCTTTATTCCACATTTTTCTGTTTTCAATCCAATATGACAATAATCAACCTCCTCAAAATTTTCTAGTTGATTAACTAATTCTTTATCAAGCTGCGATTCAATAAACGAACAAAAATTTTCTTGATTGATTTGAGTTGTTGTGATGCAGGAAACAACAATATAATGGTTATACTGAAAAAATAAAATTAATAAAGCCTTAAATTTGAATTGATATTTTTACAAATATTTAATTAAAACATTGATCATAAATATTTAATTAATTAAAATATTTCGAACCAAATCATATGAAAATTTTAATGAAAATATTACCATCTTTTTGTATTCTATTCCCTCAATAATTTTTCCAAAATATGATATTTTATTTTGATATTGTTGATTTGAAAATAATTTGTGTAAGTTTTCAAGTCCTTAAATGTAAAAACGCTTAAATATTTACTGTAAATTATTCTTGTATTTAAAAACTGTATATCATTTAGTTAATCTATATTCATTACTCCCTTCATGGATTTATAACCCTAATTATGGCATAATACACCAGATTTTTATACAAACATATAGTTACGACCTTAAAAATCCTGTTTTGTTATGAGTTCTCTATTGAAAATCACTCATTGCCAGAATTTTTAATTATAAAATTTCATAAATACGTCTAATTCTTTGGAAGAAAACTCAAATTATTCTGGTTTAAAACCGGTTGGAACCCTAGTAGAATTAATACTAAATTACCTTTTAACATCACGTTTACGATAATTTTTAAATTTGATTTTGTAATTTTATAAGTTAAAGATTGTTCAGGATATGTTGGACTATAAATATTAATTCCTCCTTGTTTATGATCATTTTGGTCATTTTTTGCTTTGTTAATTATTCGTATAGGGTTTTGCCAATTCCTTAAATTTAAACTTTAAAAATCATGAAAAAAAAATAACCAAGTAACAAAAGTTAAAAAGAAACGTTCAATTAATTCAACAAAATTAGCTCCAGGATTTAATAAAAATACTTTTGTTAGCATTATTGAAATTGAATTCCCATCAAGAAACCCAAATTGACTGCTATAGACACAATACCCTGAAAATTATTAGTTTAATTGATCCCTGATAAATAGAAATAAAAATTGAACATGTTTCTGGATATAACATTGCTGAAACAAAAAAAATTTGCAAAACCCTGATTTATTATTCTATTCTCGGAAATAATGTTAAGGATGTACAGAATGGTCAGTGAGTCAATAAATCAGCTCGCGGTCTTAACTTTGGGCCAAGATGAAAACTATTGAATATTGAAAATCAAAATGGGATAACGAGTCAAATTAAAAATTTGATTATAAAAATAAAAGCTCAGTCAAACACCAAAATCTGCGTGATTGAACAAGATTTTACTATGCGTGTCGCTGAGCTGCTTGTGCAAGACCACGCGTTTTCTATCACATCTTTGCTGACCTTAGTCAAGCAACGGTGACTTGTCTGAGAAGCATGTTATACCAAATCATTCAGTTAATATTTATACTAGATGTAGTACATAAAGCCGCTGGAAATTTCTGTCCGTTAGTTCAAAAACTCATAAACATATTAAATATCAAACCTTTTGCCCAATTTTTTAATGCAATAAATGCTTGAATAAAAATTTGTTTTTCGCGTTCATTCACATTCTCTATCAAATTCTCCAAATATTCATAACTTTTGAACAATGCAAGGTTGTGCAATGTAATTAATGCGTTTTGAATTTCTCCATTGCCACTTTCCTTATTTAAATTATTCGATAATTTCTTCATTAATGATTCAATCCAGCTTGAATCCTGGGGAACTATACGTGTTTCTGGCTTGTGAACAAAAGTAATGTTAATTTCAGTTGTTTGTATTTCAAACTGAATAAATTCATCTGATGAGGTCGAACGACGAAGTTTGTTCACAAATTTGCTTTTCTTAAAAATAATTTTTAACAAAATATTTTTAAAGAAATGTTGAATTCTACGTCCCAAAATTTTATATTCTTCAAAATAACAGCCTACATAAGAAGTTTAGTTGTCATAAGTTTATAATGTTATATCCTTTATCCTTCCCGCATAATACACTCAACTCCTCAGATATTCCTCTTAATACACGTAAATCGCATGATTAAAAATCACATATTGTTTTCACTCGGAGCTCAGAGCTAACATGGATGTCTTTAGAAAATCTCCGTATACTAAGCCTGAGCAAGTTTTTGAATGCCCGGAAAATTTGAAAACCCCGGTCCGGAGCCAAGAAAAAATAGTAAAAAGTTCATCCAGAGCATTATGCCTCTTATTTCAAACAATGCCAATTTTATAGAATATTCAGAAATTAAAGAGTAATTACTTAGAAATACATTATTCCCTCTAATTTCTAACCTTGCAAAGATAACAGAAGAGTGATTTATCTGAACAATTAAACATAAATGGAGGTCTACAAAATGTATTTGTTTCTCCATTAAATATTTGTTTAGCTTTCATTTTTTCTTCATCCTCTCCTTTTCCTGTCCCGACAGCAACAACAATTACTTGAATATGGCCTCCTATTTTGTTGTAAGGACTGGCCATTAATAATCCAAAATTGTTATTTTTTGTTAAATTTATCCATTTATTAAAAAGTGTTTGAAAAAATTCTTTTGGATTTTTGATATTTATTTTATTAGAATATAAATTGTCGATTAATGTTTTTGTCTCGTATTCCTCATTTAAAAAGTCCATTGGATCGTTTCCTTTAAATTCAAGAAAATTATTCGGTTCCGTGTTTGATTCTTCATTCATTTCTGTCTCTTTAAACGAAAAAAGTTTATATCCATCTGGATTTAGATAATCATCATTGTTTCTTTGATTATCTTAATAATTAATATTTTAATCGAAATATAAATGATTAAAGTTAGAATAAGAAATTACTAAATCGTGAATATAATACCTAATTTAATTTGTTCTTTCATTTTAATTAATTTATTAATTCGTTCTTCTACTTTTTCCACCAATATACTAACTTCATGTTTATCCGCTTTCAAATTAAACATTTCCTGAACGAGATATATCTGATTTTTGGTTAATTTTCCATCAATATTTTGCTCTTTTGTAAAAATAAAATATTCACAAATTTTTTGAAAATACAATTTTTCTTTCATTTTATTAACCAAATCTTTTTCTAAAATTTCGTTTTTTCCGAAAAAAGGCAACAAATTAATTAATAAAAGTTTCAATTCTTTTTCAATTTCTTCAATATTTTTTAATGATTTTTCTTTAATTTCATTCCAACTTTTTTGAATTTCTAAAAATTTTTCTTCTTCAAAATAAACATTAAAAACCAATTTATTTTTTAATTTTAGCTTCTCAAAAAATTCAAAACGTTTTCCAATCTCATTTGCAAAAATACAAATATTTAATAAATTCCTTCCAATTTGAGTTTTTCCTTTATTAAATTTATTAAAAATTTCAAACAAATTTATATCTTCAATAAAATATTTAATTTTCTTTTCTTCTTCATTAATTTCATCACTTTTGGATAATTCGTGCGTAATTTTGATATTTTCTTCATCCTAAATAATAATTTAAAATAAATTACAGGATTAATGCTTGGATCTTTCTATTATGCAGCTTTTCTCTGTACCAGTATAATTTTTGTAATCCCTTGCCTAAATAAAAAGAATTTATGATAACTCCAACTCTTTCTAAAATTATTTTTTTATGCATTGAAGTTTTGCTTGAATTTTCTATCCAACAAAACTTTTGTTATCATTGTTTGCACAGCCAATAATTTCATCATTTTTTCCCACAACTTTGTTTATAATTTTTTGCCAATCGGCCACTTTATATACCCTTCCAAAACCACCTAAACTGGTCTTCTACCAATCATTCAATAACTTCTTCAAAAAGCCTTCTTCAAACCTTCTACCTTTTACGGCAACTCTGTTCATTTTAATTTAATTGTGAAATAAATATTCTTAGTCTAAAAATTACTCATGGTTTAGTTGGTCACAAGATTAAGTGGAGGCTCGGCTCAACAACAAACCAGGACTCATCAACAACTACAAACAAAACTTTAACTGGGGGCTCAGCTAAACCACGACATCAGGACTCATCAACAACTACAAATAAAATTTAAGTTTTTGGACTACAATTGTTCAACAACTCATCTGTCGAATCTATTAGTGTTATCATTCGTGAACAACAACAAAAAGTGTTAAGCAAACATTCGTGCACCAGAATACAGACGCTCCAAATCTACACCAATCAACGGTTCAACTCGGATCAAAAAAGGTGTGGGAGGATTTATAATAAACAACAAAGCAGATGCGCATATAGAAGACATCAGATTATCCTTCTCATCATGGTCCGATCTTTTGCGCAAAATACCGTCTGATGAACGCCCAATGGCAAATGACGTGTACGAAGCGTTTCAGAAGACACTCAAACTTGAGGCATCAATGGAAACAATCGATACAATGCTTCTACAACTAAAGGACTTCAAAGACGAAGTCTCAATCAAAGCAAAGGTTGCTATGGCAAAAAATACAAGGAATTAAAAGAAGAAAAATGAAGTATTCTTAAAAGATGCAATCAACCTCAGCCAAACTAGTTAACAGCATCTACTATCTCCTCGGTCTATCAATTGCTGACACTACAAATCGAACCATTCAATGGAGCTCGGAAGGACTGGGTGAATCATTCAATTGCGCAGTGGTCTTCAAATCCCTTAACCTTATCAAATGATTCTTTTGAATTAAACTGAAGGATGAACTCGACTATACTACTAAAAATGATGCTGTCTGTCTTTAATAAATTTATAGTTAATACTTTTGTAGAATTAGGATCAGTTGATGTTACTGCATCAGAAATAATATTTAGTGCTTTTTCACGTTTCGGTTTATCTTTATTTTTATAATTCTTTTTAACATTCTCATTATTTTTATTTTTTAACTTCAACTTTAGCTTCATTTCCTCTTCTTTTTTCATTTCAATTTCAATTTTCTTCTTTACTTCTTCCTCTTTTTTAATTTTTTTCTTCTCATTTTTAGCATTTAATTTAATTTCTTTTTTATTTTGGTTTACATTACTTTTTATTAAATTCATTATTTCTTCCAAATTATCCTCGTTAATAAAAACTTTAATATGTTTTTCTACTAATTCTAAAGTCGATCCTTCTTTAATTCCTTAAGAATATAATTTAATCATTTTTTGTTTTAAAATTTTTGTGTTAAAGGTTTTTTTCTTCTAAAATTTTACCAAATAGATATTTTCGAATAAAGCTAACTATCTTTTTCTTGAATATCTTATTCTAAACCAAATAAGCGTCTTCCAATCAGGGAATTGAAGAACCGATCATTTATGTTCGGTTTGTCCTACATAACTGTATATAATACCTGCAATAATTTTTGTGTGTAATAAACTATCATTTTTGTTTAATAAGTTCTTAATTGTATTATAATTTTCGGTTTTAATCCATTTTATAAATTCGTTTGATGTATCTTTTTTGGTGTATTCTTTATTAAAAAAGTAATCCCATTTATCACATAATTCCTCAAATTCTTTATTTTCTTCATTTTCCTAAATATTTACAAATAATCTAATTTAGATATAGATTTACTAGGACGAATGTGATGTCTAATATAGAAATAAGTAACAGAAGTACTTATTTCCCAGTGTCCTGATATCTTAGTTAATATAATATTGGAAATACTCATATTTCCTAATTTGAGAGATTCTGCCACCAAATAAAAATCGAAATATTTGGCAATGTATTTTATTAGGAAACAAATTTACACTATCATCTTCGTTCATTTTCCCTTCAATCCATAATTTTATTGCTTCCATCATGCCCAAATTACTGACAATTTTATCTTCTATATCATCATTATTTGATAGGTTTAATTCATCAAAAATTATATTGAAACTTATTTTTCTATCTTTCCAAACATTAATCATTAAATTATATTGTTTTAAACTTTTCCATTTCCTTTTTCCATCAAAAGGATATATTAATTCGGAATTTACATATCTGAACCAAATAACAAAATGTGCCATTAAAATATTTGATTTAAACACAGCTGAAGTTTTCGACATTAATGCCAATGTATAGTGTTCTATTAATCTTTTATTGTCAAAGAATACTATAAATTAGAAGATTATTTTATAATAAATATAATTATCAACGGTAATTTATTAACATTTTTAGAGAAAACTCCAATAAACCCTCATCGAGAACATATACAGAACGATAGGCTCTCTTCCACTTTCCCAGTTTTTTCGAAATATTTTTTTAACTCTAAATAGCTCTTTTGTTCATTGATCTGATTTGTAATCAACAAAATTATTATTTAAAAAACGTTTAATTTTATAATAGATCAGAAATTTAATTAATTAATAATTGGACCACTGTTATATGAACTAAAAGTTTGTTTTTATATTTAGTTTTTATAGGAATAAGAGTCAAAATTTGAGGTTATCCTTGATTCCTCTTGATCCATCCAGGTTATCTTTCGGTATTTGTACTAGTGTGAATATTATTAATATTATTCTTTCTTCCTATCCCAATAACCTAATATCACTCCAATCCTCAGAATAAACTATTAATGAGATAAAAAATTGTCTTGATCAAACTGTGTAAACTCCAAAATTTAAATTTTTAATTTCTTAATATACCGCTCAGGACTTGGTACCTAAACAGCAGTTCGTCAAAGTTTAAAGAGCATCAAGAACCGGACTTACTATAATCATTAAGCAACTCATATTTTTCCAACAATATTATTCTTCTTTCACTTCCTTCAAGAAAATTCATTAACAGATAAACTGCCCCTTTTGTGTTTCTGAACAATTTAAATTTGTTTACATCCTTATCAAAAATTTTTTCAAAATAATTTAAATGGTCTTTTGATAAAAATTTTCTGACATTTAGATAGAAATCATTTTCTATCGAATAATTAATATCTTTTAAACTTTTATAAACTTCAGATTCTGTTTTGTGAATTTTAATCTCAATTTCGAGAGACTTTCCTTCTCTAGCTAAATTTACATATTCAATTCTTTTTTCTTCAAATTTTATATAAAAATTAAATAATATAAATAATGCAGATTCTATCCCCGTTTTTCTTAGAAACGTGAATACATGTCTTTTTAACCCTTTGAAAGCGCCTTTTAAATGAATTATTCTAAGAGACTCCAAGTTATTAGCATTTTTCAGTAAATTCAGAATTATCCTTTCAAATATTTCTATTTTACTAAATAGTATTGCAGAATTTATCTGCTTTTCCTCTATTGTAAAATAATTTGGTTCATAAATTCTATGAATTGCTTCATAAGGTATATCCATATAAAAGATTCTTTGGTATAATGTCCATCTGTAAGAAGGCTCCAATGCTAGCTCGAATTCAGCTATAATTTTTATTATTTAATTTATCATTTCAAATTAAAAATTTCTAGTTTGAAACGATAATAAACTATGAATAGTTCAATGAAATTATAGACTTTATCTTAGTCGTTGTAGCTTGAAGGGATTAGTAGCTGAAAGATTAAAATACAGCATATAGCTTACATTTTGATAAAATTTCTGGATATTCGTTTTCCAATTTTTCTAGAAGTTCAGATCCAGCCAAATTATTTAAAGCAGTCTTTGTATGAAATGTTATACAATTTTTGGCCTCGGGTAACGTTAATATTGTTTGGAGCATTTTATAATGAGAATTGCGTAAATCTTTTTCAAATGATGGAGAGTCAAAACATTTTTCTATCATTTCATTAATTTGGTTTTGTGTTTTGCAGTTAATTTTTTTGTCGAGTATTTCATCAACCTTAATTATTTTAATTATAAAATTACCGTATTTATTTTAATATAACGACATGCCGTTTTAATTTTCAACCCACTTCTAGAGTGTCGTTATATATAGATACTGTCGTTTTAAATTTCAACCCTTTTTTATATAATATTTCAAAAAAATACTTCATATTCTATTTACCTCATCTTATCTAAGATAAATTTCTTCTAAAATTTCTCCCCTCTACCCCAAAGTATAACTCTCACGTTAAAACGATTTTTGAAAGAATTTTGATAGAAGGACGAATTAATAATAAATTATTTCTTACATTTATAACTGAATTGAGATGTTCATTCCAATATTTGTTCGCCAAAAGGGTTTTGTTTTTCATTAACGAATACAAAAAACTATAATATTTACAAAACTTTTTTTCTGCCGTCCATTTATTTATATTTTGGTTATATTTAACAATTAATTCCTTAGCTCCGTCTGAAACATTTTTGAAAGCTTTTCCAAATTCAAAAGACCATCCATATCCTTCCTTTTCCCCTTCTTCACTTTTTGGTATTCCCAAAAAATAATTTGAACGGGCTTCTTCAATTGGGTCGTCAATTTCTTCAATGTTACAAACGAGGGAATAAATAAACTTATGAGAACTTGTAATGTATGAGTTTAGAGAAAGATCTCTCAAAAATTCCTCATTTCTTGGCTCTCTTAAATATTCCAAATACATATCGAAAAGTTCGTGTTGGTAACGAATGAAATTAGTTATATCTTCAGATTTTATTTCAAAAAACAGTTTTTTATTATTATTTTGACCGCTACCGTCAGTTTTGGTAGCATAATTAATTATTAGAAAATAAATTAACAAAAAATAAATATTTAGAAACATTGCCAGAATTAAGATTTAAATAAAGTAAATACAAATTTTATTAAATTTTAATAAAAATCTTTTAAATAAATTATGTAATTATTCATAAAATGAAATAGCTAGACAAACAAAATAAATATTGTTTGTTTAGTATAAATTTTGTTTAGTGCAAGGCGGCACTAAATAAAGGCGGCACTAAATAAAAAGATGCACTTTTATTTTTAAAATATTTAATATATTGCGCAATTCATTATTATTGCAATATTATTTGTAATGTCTGGCAAAATCACTTTT